AGCAGGAAAGTGAAATTAAGTTTCTTTAACAGCAGTTTTGTTTGTTTATCTCTGGGCTGCAAGGCCGAACTCTTTCGCACTATCTGATTGTAGGAGCATACACTCTCGCTGATACTCTTCTGTGTAAGAACGAGCTGAAGTGCTGGAAGAGGCCGTTGAAACATTTTGCATAATTTCTTAGCAAACGTGAACGTCGCGTGACCGCAACCTACAAAATGTGATCTTGACTTTTTGGTTTATGTGAAAGCGTGAGAGTTGCGCTTTCAAGACGTTGCCATGTTTCTACAGTAAATCAAAGTTGTGCGTGAATGTGAAAGGGCTAACAGTTTTCTCTCGCTGTTTTCAAAGGAACAGAGCTGTGAATGAATTAGTTACGCGTCTGTTTCACCTTTTCTGAGACCGTGTTCTCTCTCGTTCCCCTGTCTTTTGTGCACAGTGCTGGGGTTTGACAGAGTGCCGTGGTGGGGTACGCTGTGCATTTCTCTGGGCTGCGCTGCCGTCACAGCCTTGTTCGTTTGGTTTGTCGTCTGTCCCCGCCTCAGGAAGAAAATCCAAGGTGAGTAAATCTGACTTTAGACTTTCAGACTATACTTTTGTAAATATGTTGACAAAAATATACGACTTATGTATTAAAATTCTATTTATTTCTGCACTGGCATCACTGCTTTCTCTTGCGTTAAAAATCTGAGTGCTTCTTTCATCCAGCACAAACAGCTGCTGCTCCCTGTGCAGCTCCGCTCATGGAGAGGAACTCCAGCAAACCCGTGCAACCGCAGCAGTCCCCAGTATCCCATGCACCCCGACCACAGAGCCCTCCAGCAGACAGTCAGAAGGTGGCTTTTAAACTGGGAGGCTCAGATGAGACGGATTTAGACAGCATAGATGCAGAAACCAAAGACCTGGACATCGCCAACGGTAATGACTTGAATCTGCACTCTAAATAGAGTATAACCAGAAGAAACTCCAACAGCTGAATTACATTTAACTATTTATTTTCATAGGTCTGAATGGGACCGTAGGCCCCATGGTGATCACTGATCCTCACAGTGGTCGGTCCCACACAATCCACAAAGACTCTGGCCTTTACAAGGACCTGCTGCACAAGCTCCACATGGCCAAGGTTGGCGAATGTATTGGTGACAGCGACACAGAAGAGCGGCCCATCCGGAGGAACAACAGCTACACCTCCTACACCATGGCTATTTACGGAATTCAAGGAGATGTCAGGTATAAAGACGGGGACGGTGGGCTGCAGAGGAGACCGAGAGTGGACAGTTACAGCAGCTACAGCTCAGCAGTGTCCAACAGGAGTGCAGCTCTGGACGAGAATGTGGTCCAAGAAGCTGGCACCGACCTTGCTGGCACGGACCAGGAAGAGGATGAGCTGGAAGTCGACCAGCCTGCCGTTTCCTCGCTTTTCCAGTTCCTGCAGATACTCACTGCGTGCTTTGGCTCTTTTGCTCATGGAGGGAATGATGTCAGGTAGGCAAGGATGTTTGTTTTTTCTGAAGAATTCATATACGTTGGTTTGTTCAGATGGCTTACACAAACTTTTTTTTCGCATTAGCAACGCTATAGGCCCACTGGTGGCTCTCTGGCTTCTGTATGAGAGTGGCTCCGTCTTGTCAAGTGCACCGACACCTATCTGGCTGCTTCTTTATGGTGGAGCCGGCATCTGCATTGGACTCTGGGTGTGGGGTCGGAGGGTGATCCAGACCATGGGCAAAGATCTCACCCCTATTACACCGTCGAGGTATGCGGCTGACAAATAAAATCCTTATTTGTGTTAAAGTCGAAGCATACTGACATTTCCTTCTCTTCTAGTGGATTCAGCATCGAGCTGGCCTCAGCAATCACGGTTGTGGTGGCATCCAATATTGGCCTTCCTGTCAGCACAACCCACTGCAAGGTAATGAAACTAAAGGGACTGTCTTTACTACAAATAGACACATACATTAGAAATAAGCTAAGCTTTCTGCACAAGTAACGTACACGGTGGCGCATGACCTGATGAGCTCTTAAATTATGTGCACACAGGTGGGATCCGTGGTGGCCGTGGGATGGTTACGTTCCCGGAAGTCAGTCGACTGGCGTTTGTTCAGGAATATCTTCATAGCCTGGTTTGTTACTGTTCCGATCTCTGGGCTGATCAGCGCTGCCATCATGGCTCTCTTCATTTATGTTATCCTCTGAGGCCAGCACTGTCCAGCGACACTCCTACTTGAGTTGATGGACTGCAGCCAACAAGTTGTTTGACTCTGATAAATCCTACGCCAATAAAAATGTCCTGTTTGTTCTCCATTTGCTAATGATTTATATTATATCATTAAGTCAAGGCAATTATTTTATCTCCCACGGTCGCGTCCTTGAACTATGTAGACTCTAATAACACTCTTCAGTTATCCGAAAGACTGTGATCTTGTATATCCTTTTGTATATTTGTATAGAAGCAATGTTTTCATCAGATGATTCCCTTTTGACTGAAAAAGAACGAGCAGCAGTTGTATGTTTGGATATTTGGATACAGTAAAATATGGAGTTGCTTGATTTGATGATATTTCAATGTATTTTACTCACCATTAAAGATTTTCTTTTACAGAAAGATGCTTTTCTGAGTGTTAATGTAGGAGGGATGGATTATTAAAAGCAACAAAACATCATCATAAATTTGATCGGAAAACTGCTCATTAAAAAATGAACATTAGAGTTTTCACTAAGGTGGACGTTATAGTGAACCATCGACACTAATAGTGTCAGCGGTAGTGCATCTGATTCTCCTCAATGTTTTGGTGCTATTTCTGCAAAATCCACGAGGTGGCAGTGCTGCAGCAGCCTTTTTTACACACACACTGACTCCTCCATACAGGAAGAACCTTTAAATGCACAATACTGTGCAAAGGTCTTCATGTCTTTGTATTCTGCTTCCAAGAAGCCAAATTTTCTTGTAGTTTTTTTTTTTTTTCCAAGTCTGGTACCTGAAAAGACTTGACCGAAACAGAAAATTTTCAGAAGAATCTTTTTTGGTTGTTTAAGCAACTTAACACAGAACCATGAATCATTCAAACATTAAAATGCAACTAATTAATGAGATGAACCAGTTTTGTGTCTGCACATAACTGATGACTTGGTAATGAACCGAATTGAATGTGTCCTTAGACATTTTGCTATTAGCAGCCTGACAGAGAACTACATTATCTTTGAATCTATGAAAAGGGGAAGAGTGGCTATCAAGAAGCCACTCTTAAGGAAGGGAAAGGCTGAAATATGCAAAATTACACAAGAACTGAAAATCAGTGGCAATAGATCTCATGGAGTGGTGAATCTAAATTTGAAATCTTTGGTTCAAATCATCATCAACATGTTCAGAGGAGGTCGAGAGAGAGAGAGAGGTACAACAGTGAGTGTCTGTAGTTATCTGCTTAGTGCTGCCTTTCAGCCAGGTGTGTTGGAGGTCCTTTCAGAATTGATTGAAATTAATTAATTCAGACTTATTATTACTACTGTAATACCATCCAGAAAACATCTGACTGGAACTTCATTTTTCAGTACGCCAATGATCCCAGACACACTGCCAATGTAGTAAAAGCATACTGGATAGAAAAACACACTGAGGAACACTACTGATCACGGACTGGCCACTTTAAAAACAAATGACAATTTATTATAAAAGCCAGAAAGGCAGAACTATTATCTTTATATTATTTATTTTGAGAAGTGTTCTGACATTTTTGTTTAATCTTCCCATTGCAATAATAGTAGTTTGGCAGCAGATGCTGCTGCTGTTCCATTTAACAAGCTTCGAAGCGACTCAGTGGATATCATGAACAACAAGATTAATATTAATTAGCCATAGAACTTTCTATACACTATTTATTTAAATAATTAGCCTCTCTGTTCTCAACAAGTCAATGGATTTGACTCTTATTACTTGCATTTTTAAACAGCCTAGCGCTTTTTGTGTATCTGTGTGTATATTTTTGTTGTTATGTAACAATCTCAGAGACTGCACATGTAATTGAGTCATTTTGGGTTTGTTTGTTTTTCTACCATTGTTATCTAGTTTCACCAATAATTGAAAAAAATCCGCAATTAAAACTGGAAATGTATAATTAAATAAATCAATTTACTATAACTCTGCTGATTTTTCATAAATTTTGCTTAAACTTTGTTGCCAGAAATGTTTGTCTGCCATTGATGTTGCCATAAGACGGAGTCAGTGTGTGATTGAAAGAGGTGAAGTTGTCAATGACATGCAATCTGTTTCTCATAACTGTGACAAATTGTTGAAATTTGCTGTCTACATAGACAGCAAATTCACATCAGACTATTACATTTGAGCTCAGCAGCCTTCCTGCTCTATAGGAAGAGTACAACTGGAGGTAAGTTGAGTCGTGCAAAGACTCATTGAGATTGATGGCAACATCTGTTTGCATTTATAAATTAATATTTACAAACCTTCATCGATCTCTGAGAGTGTTTGCAGTCATTACCAGTCAGACTGCGAATATTTGCAGAAAGATTGTCTTGAGATCCAAAGCGGCCATGAGTGTGCAACACCAAACACCATTAAACTGTGGGCAACCATTTAGCCATGACAGCCACCGATTTTTTAAAAATTAATTTTAGCCGCTAGCTTGCTCTTTATTATTTGTAGATTCGTGTCTTTAATGGCTGACCCTGAAACAAAAGTTCATGGGACTTTCTGTGCAATCTTGTATGATTTGTATAACCCTATGCCAGATAGAGCTGGATCTGTATGTTTTATGAAATATAAATAAATTTAAAAACTAATAAGCAATTGTACGATAGTGTCTTAATATATTGCTTTGTTGTTTCCACATTACCTGGTCTGCTTCCCTTTCTTCACTGTAGTCTTATCCCATGCAAGGGTTTTATTTTGAAATTGGGGACCGGAAGTTGTATAAATCTTTTCGCCTTTTTATTGACACTTTGACTGATTTTATAAAAAAAATATATATATGGGCTCTTCATACAGGTGTGCTTGGACATTTATTGTTGTTGCGATGATTATTTGGGGTTAGGCGGGGATCGTGCGTGTACTGCGTGGATGTTTGTCTGTTTGGCGTCACGGGGAAAGGAGCGCGCACAGCAGCGCAGCGGCGGCTTCGCTCTGCACTGAAAAACCGTGCAACTGGGGCATGCGTTCACTTTACACAGCGGACCAACAAGCTGGTGGAGACCGTGGCGGATTCACGGGAATACCGCGACGTGTCGCTTTTCTGTAATAAACACCGGATTACTGGAGGTGGGTTCGGGGAAGATTTGGGGTGTTTAGCGATAAGGAAACGTAGAAATCACAGATGTGAAAAGGTGCGCTTTACCTCGGGCTTTCCCCCCCTCTTTTCTTTCTTCCTCTTCCACCTTTGATAATCTGATTTTCGTCCGGATCCAGTGAAAATGCAGCCTGTACCTGACAGATGTGTGGCACCACAGCTGCAGCCTACAGGTCTGTATCGCCGCTATTAATTCAAGCGTGTTTTTTATGCCATAAATGAAAATTCAATATGAGGCTTAAGACAGACTGAGAATTGAATCAACAGAGGCAGTCTATGGCACTGACTGCATCTGAACAGCTTCTTATGCAAAAAATAATAATTAAAAAAATGTCTGAGTGATATTCTGTCTGCTGTAATTATAGTAGCATCTGGCCTTTTGTGCTCTGCTCCTGAAACACTCACTTGATTAGAATTATTTTGTTGCCAACAAAACAACAACAACAAAAATCCCCAGACAAATTTCTTCACTACATTTTAAGTAAACAAAACGAATTGGCACAGGCCGGTTATTGTGCTACAGCACGGAGCAGGTTAGATTTGTGTCAGGTCCTCTAAAACAATGCCTGACTGCTTACTCAGAGGATAAATCACAGCTTTTGTTTGCCAGTGTGCCTGTGCACCTTGTCTTCTGTTTAGAGAGTATCTCCTGTCTACCTGCTGCAGATCTGCTGTGGTTGGCTGTGGAGGACTGAGATTGCTAAAGCTGCAAATCACATCATCAGCATCATCAGCATCAACATCTGCCACTTCAAACGCAACAAGACACAGGAGGACGCAGGCTGCTTTTTGCATGATCAAAGACGGAGAAGTCAGAAAGTACCTGTAGACGATGACTCCAGCGGAGCTGTTTGCTTGAAAGCAGCATGAGATAACTGGGGGCTGCCACGCTAATCGCTGATTCAAGCTTTTTTCCGTTTGGCAATGATGAAAAAGCCCCTCTTTGTCAGCTGACTGACAGGGTCGCAGTGGTGCTCTAGCACAGGACGTTGCCAGCAGCCGAAGCGCAGACACCACAGAGGAGATGGCTCGTCCAGGATCCGGGTTGCTGGTGCCCGTAAATGGGCTGGGGTACCCCCCTCAGAACCTCGCCAGGGTGGTGGTCTGGGAATGGCTGAACGAACATGGACGCTGGAGGCCCTACACCGCAGCAGTTTGCCACCATATAGAAAACGTGCTGAAGGGGGATGCCCGGGGAAGTGTAGTTCTAGGACAGGTGGATGCTCAGCTCTCTCCTTACATCATCGACCTGCAGTCCATGCACCAGTTTCGACAAGACACAGGTAAGAGTGTGCACAGATGACACAGATGCCGGTGCCAAGGAAAGCACAGATAACACAAATTTAACCATAACAATGGACTCAATGTACTGTATACATGTTTACTGATAAATAATCAGGTATTTTAGGATGTCCTCATAGCAGATGATGTCATATTATCCAATCTGGGCCAAACCAGCTTTAATGCGCTTGGTACACAAACTCCACAGTCATTCCAAGAGAGTAAATGAGAGCCCCGATTGCTTTGAGGCTCGTGTATATGAGCCACAGGTAGAGCCAAGAGGCACTGCCACAAGATGAATGTGAAGCATAGAGCCAATTAAAGTGTAGCAGTTACATATTGAGCCAGAAATGCCTTCATGCAGCTGTTGGGATGCCATGACCTTGCCAAAGGTCACCATGATTTAGCAGTTGTGCATCCATCAGACAAATGAGATGCAGTTCAGTGTAAACCTCACTCTGTCTTGTTATTCATGTGTTAAACAGTTTGTAATTCAGCGAGTTACAGTATGTTGTTAGGATCGAAGTCATTTCTTATCCTGCTGCTACATGACTTCAGTTTCTGTAAGTTTTCACACCTACATACAGAAAATGGAACAATCTGGTTTCACAGTTATTAGACAATCGATACCCCGCCATGTTTGAACTACGGCGCGTGCAATCCAAAACTTTGTCCTCAATTTTGCATTTAATGCGAGCTCTGTGAGACAGCATGAGGCCAACATTATCTCGACTGAGGGATCGATCGCCTCTGGCCATAACGCGCTAACAGTAAATGCCGACCCCCCCCCCCTTTCCTGTTACTACGTGTCGCTTTAGAGTAAAATCCAAGCCACCACAGCCTTTGTTTGGCTTGCAGTAATTCTCTCAGATGACTGCTACCTTTTAAAATAAGCCCAGATGCTTTTTTGTAATTCTCCACCAACGATCAACACTCTCTCTTTGTGAGGATTCCCGTCATGCTTGTTCCAGTGTGTGTGTGAAGCAAAGGGGGGGAGGAGGTTGTAGGCATCTGTTAAGAGCAGCCTTGGAGAAATCGCAGCTTTCTCAATTATTATTCTTCACAGTCAGCTGTGGTTGATTACAACTCTATTAGCCATTTATTGTGACATCTTTGTTAGGATGCTCTGAAACTCCTTTTTTTTTAAAAAGTCTGACGACAAGAGCTTCCACTCTCTTAAGTTAGAGGCTGGAGTTGCTGTATTTGAAAGTGTTATGTAACACGAGAAGTGCAGGGACACTCTCGCAGGATGTACAGAAGGTAACTTCACTGTCCGCGGGTCTGCACTGTGTCACTTGTCATCAGTGTGCATGATTCATCAGCATTAATAAATAGCTGCAGCGCCCTGAGGAATACAGATAGAATTGAACAGAGCTCAAATTCCTAAAAGGTCAGACCAATTTGCAAATGCATTAAGTAATAACCGTGTAAGTGTCTTTCAACAGATGGGTGTAGTTCAGGCTATAAATGCAGAGGAATATGGCAGCGGTCACAGTGGTCTGTGGTCTGCTTGCCCCTTTTAAACTAAATAGTAACAAAAAAAGTGCTTAGAAACCAGCAAGTAGATTGGGGTATCTAGAAAAATATTAATATTAGCATAATGTATCTTATAGTCAGTCAAACTTGGTATATCAGTATTTTTCTACTGTTCCAACATGCTCTTGTCGATTGTGCTGACTATGAGGACAACTCCATTTGTGAATGGCTGTCAGGTAGGTTGTAGTACAAGCAGCTGCCTGTTTTTCTGCTGTTCTCGTTGACGTCCCCCCCTTTGATAAAACACAGAGCTGCACATGTGTCTGTGAGATGAACCACTGAGTCGTTTGTCAGCCATTACCACGACACGGGGGCTAGGCCTGACGTTTATCGCTCCTCACTGTGCTGTTCACCGTGTTACCTTCCCCCTCGGCTGGGATAAACCTGTCACGGCAGAGGCTGATGGACAGTAGGTCTGGATGCTCGGTGCCTCCTCCGCTTTGTCCTCCTCTGCGCTCTCTTTTGCTGTCCTTCCACACGGGCACACCTCTGTCCTTCGTCGTCATCGATTCAAACTCCCATGAGGCCTAGCTTCCAGGCTGTTGCGATGTTGTTGTAGCGCCGCTTGAGTGGAGGGATCTCGGCGAGCTTGTTTTGCTATAACGTTGAGTGTGATGCATTTGTTTCACATCGGATGTTTGCTGTAGCTCAGCAGGTCACCCTCAGCCACTTGCTTTGTTGCAGGCTTATGGAGTGTCCCTGTGGGGAAACCCCGTTTTGTCGCAGAGCCAGTGAGCTTGCCCTCTGAGGCTGTTTCCTTTTTTGCTAAGAGTTGTAAAAAAAGGTTAAGTATGATTGATATCCACTGTGTGTGTTTCTGAATAAATGCTTCTGTTTTTGCATGTGAGTAATTGTTGCTTGTGTGATTGGTGCCCTCTGCCTGTTATGATGTTTGGGTCCCGTCCCTGCAGGCTGTGCAGGGCTGCCCTTTGCTCCCATGGGTTTGGGAGGATCTGTGGGTGGTAGCCAGGCCGAGTTACTCAAACTAATGAGACAGCAGCTATGTTTTATCTCCATGACTCTCTCTAATCAGAGTGCCATGACAAGAAAACACAGCCACCGCAAACGACGAAGCAGGGCCCGGTTATGGAGGGAGTAGCCTTAGAACATCTGCATTTAATTGGCACTCAAAAACATACAGGGCATGGATTTCATCTCAGTATAGTTACTAGCAAAGAACAGCAGAGTTACTGGTGAAAAACACCAGTCTGTGGTGAAATCCCGACTAGCAATGCTTTATGGACATAGTATAAGAGAAGCCTTAGAGGCTCATATAAGCATAGTGTGAATAGATATCCAGCTGAAGGCAGGGGGAGAATTGACTCTCGGCCAAGAAGGATCGATCCGTTTTCCTCCCCAGAGGGGCATTTAAACCTCTAAACACTGCTGTGGACTGATCCCCTTTCACTACAGCCACCCCCACAGCAAAATACACGGGCTTATCTGGCATTTCCATCATATACCAACACTTGTGGCCTGTCTGATGGATTTCACACTGCAGCCACTGCTTGGATTTTAAGCACTTTTCCTTTTTATATGTATCAAGATCATATGTAGGTGACATAACCCAGAAACCCTCATCATCACCATTTGTGCTCTATCCCTCAATCTCATTTAGCAACAAACATTCACACTTATTAAGTATGCATCCAAAATTCTGTAACACCATAAAGTCACTTAAATCTGTTCTTCTCCGCTGAGTGCGAAGAACAATGAAAATGTAAATATTTCAATTCACATCGTCAATCTAATATTGATCTGATTTGTATTGAAGATTGTTCGGCTGAATTTAGACTCTGATTGTTGTGAATGTGCGATATGGATTCCAGCGTTTCTGTGACCTGAAAGAGTGTTAAGGTTTAGCTAACAGTGCACCACCATGACCGTGGCTGAACTTGTGCACGTCTGGTCAGCTTTACTTTTTAGTATGTTTGTTCAGATGTTAAATACAGCAGCATTAAAAAAAACTCACTGTTTCAAAACATGCTATATAGCAAGAAATAAGTGTGATGTAACAGCAAATGTAATGATAACAAAATGAAGTTAAAATACAGCGTTAGCAAGTTCCGAGCTCTGATTGTACCTAGCTTAGAGGATATTGTTGATGCTAACTGTGTGCCACTTATGGAAGACATTGTTAAATAAATCAACAGATATCATTAATGTTATTTACAACTGACAGAATCAATACTTACATTACATTACAACAAAATGTGGATTTTCTTCTGAGGATGAAAAAATGTGTCATTTATACGCAATAGGGGAGGTTCAGGCTATTTGTCTTTGTTACATCTACCCTTCAGTAAACGAGGTAAGACATGTTATATTGTTATTTTGTATTCTTGGGCTCCACAGCTGAGGTCCATCATGATCAATTTCTCTGGAAGAGAAACTCAAGATCGGAACCTTTTTCCACATCTTTATATTTAAACATAATGCTACAAATACGTAACAAAAATCCAGTGGTTAAATATCTGGTAAACATTGTTATGTTGTTCATAAATATTTAAGAGAAGCCACTCCCCTATCTCAGTTTGTCTGGTACGAGGTAGTCAGTCAGCAGCTACCTGGAAGAGCAGATTCTGTTTTTATGTTTGGATGCATTATGGATTTTTATGGAAATAAAAAAAATTTGCAAGATGTACTGACTGTGATGGGAAATGAAACCAGTTTATCCAGATCCCAAGTCTTGCCTTCTTGGTTTATATTCAGAAACATATAAATATAGTAAGAATGAAAGGACACTAATGGACCTCAGTCTGCAAATTACAAGAAGAAAACAATTGTCAAAACAAATGCTATCAATGTACTGCTGGAAAAGAAGAAATTACTTAAGGGAGGGCAAGTTCAAATACATATGGGGTCCATTTATGGTCCACAAACACAGAGACTGATGTATGTGAATGAAAGGAAAAGAAAAAGGGGTTTTATGTGTGTTGTATTCTGTTCTGTTTTATATTCAAAGGGGCTATAAAGGCTGGTTTATAATAAGTGTCCTGTGTGTTAGTTTTGTGATCACTGATCTGACGTAAGTAATTGTTGAACTTTGCTGTAATTATATACATTGTTTTTATTAAAAATATGAAAACAGTGTGAGGTTGATGGACTAGATGAAGCTTTGGCATGTAATTATTATATATGTAATGATAAAAACGCTGTAAAAACAGATATTTCTATAGTAGTGAAAAAAACAAGAAGGTTTCTGTTATTTAATTGTTTATCTGTTGCACGGGGGAAGGTCTTCATCAATAAGAAAAGCTTTAAAACCTGGGGAAATACAGTTAAAATACCCACATTCACATTTTCCAAAGCTGTCGAGTGGGGCCATATTGAAGTCTCTGTTGGGTCCGCGAGCCTTATGTTTGACACCCTTGCTTTAATAGGTCATGATGTTGATATTTTCTCACAAAGTTGAGAAAATACATAAATACAATAAATCAATTTGAACTGCAACAGAGAGCAGCGT